TATAAAGTTAATTCACTTCTCTGAAATAATTGTGCAAGACTAATCTATTCCCCAGGAAGGTAAGCCTATGCTCTTTTAGAACCATAAACAACTGGACATACCTCCAGAGGAATGCCAGAAACATCAGTTATGTTTCATGCTTTCCAAGACCTAAATTGCATGGAACCGCCTTGACCTTTCCTTTTCCAGCATGTTATTTGTACATTTTTTGAGAAGCCATGTATAATCATGATAAAATTGTCTGTTAATACTTACTTCTGTAGGTCTTTCAACTCAATATTTTTTTGTAAGGCTGTGTGACATTTTCAAGAATACAAATTTCTGGCATTGCATTTATCAACTTCTTTTTGTATTTTCAACATTAAGCATAAGAGAAAATTTTCATTTCGTGGAGAAGAACAAACAAGAAAACAAAAAAGAAATAAAAATCTTAGCTGTCCTGCTGTTACTTGGACTGAGGTGAGGATTTGTTCTTCGCAAAATATAAAAAGATGAAAAAAAACAAATGGGGAGAAAAAGCCTGTGAGAGTAGCTCAGTTTTTCTAAAACCACAATTTCCAGTTTCTGATCAAAAAGCATCTCAGGAGTAAAACAGCCTTATTAACTTTATTGACACTGTGGCACTATTATTATCTGCAAAACACCCACCAATAAACATTTTAATAATTTTTCCTCTGAAAAAAATTAACCCCACTTGTTCAAACAAGTCAAATTGAGGATTCAAGCAAAGCATTCAAGCACATTTCCAGCCACTGTTCTTTACCTGTAATTGTTTTTGCAGTAATGCAAATATCCACCCATATCAGGCAATAGCTATTTCCCCGTAAAGGGATTTACCTTGAAAGAGAAGGTCCTTTTAAATGCAGGAGAGCGCACCAAAATACCAATAAAACATCCAGATTTGGAGAACCACAGCCTCTGAATGGTCGGCAGAACTTTCCAGAGACTATGAATGCCCAGGCCACACAGCTGATGAAATCAGCTCTTCATTACCTGGTTTTCCAAATCAACAGATGAAGTTCAGGTGACAGCTAGAAGAAAATCAAGATCACCTGTTTGTTATTACCCAAACAGTCTTCATACAAGGTTAATTCTTCAGCGTTAATGGCAACACCTTCACATGTCATTCAGCACATATTTTTCCCCACTCATAGTAGTAAAAAGACTAGGCAAGGAGGGGTGTCATGTATTTTAACTAAATTTTTCTTACCCCAGTGCTCATGGCACAAGTGTGCTTACTGCCTTATCATTAAACCTTATCTTGTTGACAATTGTTTCCACAATAGCCATAGGATACACAATGGGAAGTACATGGTCTGAATGGCAGCAGCTCCTAAAGAGTTACCTAAAGGCCAAATCATCTCCTTCACTTACTGACTCTGAAACAAAAGCCTGAGCTGCAGGAGGAATGCTGAAACAGTGAAGAAGCTCTGGGGGTGTCAAAGGATGACAGGACATGTGGAGATGTAGCAGGAATATAGACTGACAGGAAGGGAAGGCTGAAAGCTTCTACCAGTGACAAGGAATAGCCTCCCTTGCACAGAAGAGATCCCATGGGGGCTGTGGACTGCACCAAGGGGACAAGCCTGCATTACTCTAGACCACCTTGCCCTCAAAGGGAGGAGAAATGCCTGGAGGCACAGAGGCAGTAACCAGGAGAGCTGCAGACTGGAGAGGGGCCCCAATCCAGACATTCACAGTTCTTGGGTCCTCTGCAGCTTGAGCCCTTTGGTTCTCTGGCAGGGAGTAATCACGAAGCTTTGATTCTGCTGTGTCACATCAGGGTCACCAAAGAAAAGCACTAACTCACCAAATGACCCCCTGCCACACACACATACCCCCTATTACCACTCACTTGGGAGAGGTAAGAGAACTCATCAGTACAGAAATTAATTTGACCAGTAACCTTGAGAGAGTTCAGGAAATTCTTTTCCTTGCCTAATGGCTACAGAGGGACCTTTTGCACCGGGATTTCACGTAATCTAACTGTTTGCTATTTAAACAAAAAATAATCTTGTAGAGCCTGCAACTATCTCGGACTGAGTCCCCTTGCAATTACAAAAGTGATTGTGTTTGAATAGCTGGCTTTCTCCTTCACTGCTCTGCTTCTCTCTCCACTCTGGTGACTTCTACAGGGAAATCATCTTTTGGGCATCATGGTTAACTGCTGCTCCAGGCATTATTGGATTGGCCAGACCTCAGGATCCCAGCCTTACTGCTAGTACTAGTCAGGGCAGAGGAGAAATGAACTGTTGCAAAGAAGGGCAGTTGTTTAGATACCTTTGAGCCCTTAAGCACGTTGGATAAATCTCCTTCTATCAGCACTGGTTACTAGGAGTCACTTAACCTTTCACTACTTAACACAACCGAATTCCATGATATATTGGGTCGCCACTGTAGAAATAATTAAGGAAGACAGTAGAGGAAATAATAATTTACACTGGCATGTCTGCAATCCCAAGTTCTCAACACATTCTACAGCTGTTAATGAAAAATACGTAGAAGACCATGGGTTGTGTGTTATGTGATTAATGTTACAGTCCATCCCAGTGCAGAAATGTCATGGAGGGAGGATGACACCCTCAAAATTGAATGGAAAAGGGAAAGTGCCTGGGTAACAGAATGCACTTCTCTTGTTTTACAGATGCTACTTGCTTAGTTTTACTTTAAAGAGGAGCTAAAAGGTATGAGGCTGTTATAACTTCATGCAAGCTTGCAAAGTTGAGTGTCCTTATAAAAAGAGCAATTATACACACACTTTAAGCACGAAGCAGCACAATAATTAAATGAGTAATTACCTTCCCACTTTTAAGCTGTCATGCAATTAAACTTAATTAAACATTCTCTATACTTCACTAATCTTGTACAAACAGAAGAAGGTAAGAAGGGTGTGGCAAAGAAAGGGCATTTGGCAGAAGGTTGAGCCTATTATTCTGTCTATAATATAAAATAACACTGTACAGGCAGCACTAGATTCTCATGTAATTGCCTTGTTCCTAGCCAGAATATAACCTGGCCTGAGCTGCAAGACAAGCAATACACTGAGGCAACACAATACCGTTTAATTTTATGTAGCATTCTTCTATGTACTATTGCAAAACACTCCTCAGAAGAAACTATTTCAAGGAAAGGGAAATGCTGGCATTTTAGAGCAGAGGGAATAAAGAATTCCATGCAGAAAAACAGTGCAAATGTAAAAACAAAACTCTTAATGCAAGCACAAGTCCAAGGTTTCTCTTTTCCCCAGGAGAGGAACATTTGCAAAGACACACTAGAGAAAGGGCCAAGAAAAGACATGGGAGTTTTGTTGACAGGGAGACTATTGTGAACTTGCTCCTGTCCTGGTCTGAAATACAAATGAGCTTTGTAGGGGCACAGCCCACGTACGTACTTCTGCTAATTATTTATTCATTCCCAGAAAGGCTATATCACCTCTACTTTCTTTAGCTGCATGTTATTCTTATGTCAAATGATAAAATTAAGACAAAAAAATTCATCCTTTCAAGTAAAAGGTTTTCTGTCTTCCACCTCTCCCTGAGGCAAAGGCCAAAACAGGCAGCAAAACAGGAATATCTGGAAGCAAAAACTGACCACACTCACTCTGCAAATATAATTTTTATTGACTTCAGGCGTCCTCAGGATCTGGCCCACCTTCATACCTACATATGTATACACCTCTTCCTGCTCTTTTTCTCTTCTACAGAGTCCTGGTTCCAAGTGCTACAAAAGCAACTTGAGCACATCTCAGTAAAATGTAGCTGGGAAGATGAATTTTGCCATTTTCCACCCTTATATTCTTCCAGCACCCAGAGCTGTTCTACAGAACTGGAACCTGCCATTAATATTAGCAGAAGATTCCTAAACATGAGTTGAGCCTATCAGCACAATGACGGGACAAACACAGTGTGCTTGAAGACAAATGCTAGGTGTCATTATTAAAACCATGGGGAAAACAACCAATAACAATACTGAGCAACATCCCAAGACACTGAGTGTGACTGAGTGCTGAGAAACCTGAAAAACAGATGAAAACCACAGTGCTACACAGCCACCTTGCTGCCCCATACTAACAGAGCTATTTATTTACCATTGCCTGATGATAAACTGCAACTGTGGTTAAAAAGTGTCAACAAAAGTTTTGATGGTTGGTTCTCATTCCACTTCCCACAGTAAGCAAAAAATTACAGTTTGATAAACTCTAAAATACAAATTATCCAAAGCACAGAATGGTAGCAGCTACTGAGAAGAAATTAACTCCATTTCAGCTGAAACCAGGACAGATGCATTTCTTTCTGGAAGATAATACTGCTTCATGTGCTCTGTAGGCCAAAACAAGTGAATAAACATCCTGGAGAACACTGGAAATGCAGCATTTAGGAAAAGACTGCTCTGGCTACTCTGTGTTTGCCAGCAGACAAGAATGACAGCCCAGGGAACTCTGCTTTTGGCTGCTGTGCCCCTGCTGTCAGCCCTCTGTGCAGGCAGAGCACACAGGCACACAGTGACAGGGCCAGTCCTCCAGCTCCCTTGGTCCATGGCTAATTTAGAAGCTGAGGACACAGGGTCCAGTCCCAGCTACTGCACAACTGCAGGGAGCCTTCAGGAGATCCAGCCCCAGCTGTTTAACCCAACCTGACAAGTCCGAAAGGATGTTTCATTTCCTGTCTGGGACATTGTATCGTTTTGTTAATGGCCTGGAAGTCAACAGTCCTCCATAGCTGACAATGATTAACTGCTCTGTGATTTAAATTCAGAATCAGTGGCATAGAAACCCTATCAAAGTTATGGTTTCTGCCTTATGATTCATTGCCCCACCCACACCAGCACGTTCAAAAAGAAATTCCATCAGACCAAAACTCATCCACAACAAATATACCCTTTGTTTTCTCTGATTTAGGCTCCAGTTTGGAATTACTAGGTTTTATTTTTTTTCCCCCGCTTCTTTTGTTTCCACATCTTTGCCTTAACTCTTGCTGCTCTCTCACACAGATGCAGCACATCTCCTTCCAGCCTCATGAGTGTGACTGCCATGTGCCACCGAGGAACTTCATTCTTAGGACAGCTTCCACGTTACCTTATCTGTGGGAACAAAGGAAACAGTCATGTGAAACTAACTTTCCAGATGGGAATGCCCAAGGCAGTGCTATGGAACATCATGGTGAACTAACCCACACCATCCTGCACTGCTTGGCATAGCCAGCCTGAGTTAGTTTTAGGATATCCAGACAGGATGTGAGAGGGATTGTTTCCCTGCTGTGATTTCCTTTTTGAGTGGTTTCCATGATGGTCCTGACATATTTTATTGCATATCTGCAAATATCAGAAAAAACAACTCCTCCTGGACTCACAGTGTGCAATGACATTGAGGCACAGGCAGGACAGGGATTCACACTAGATTTAGCAGCATTCCTCCCTCTCTGTTGCAGCTGTTCCCTCAGGATTGCTCAGAAGGCACAGGCAGGTTTCATTAAAGATATTGGCGTTTTTCACCAAACGGGCTTTCACACTGCTGCTCCAAAAGGCACAGAAACTCTCAATGTGTGGTTGGGTTGTACAGCACAGTCATGGGAAGCTTAGAAGCAACAAACAGAGAAAAAGTAAGTACAGCAGGAATCTAGAGCTCTTCTAGTGCAACCTGCCCTTCAATGCAAGGTCCTCTAAGGTCAGGTTAGTCAGCTGAGCTTTGCTGTCAGGGCAATCTATTTCAATATTTCACTACCCTCGTGATCAATTTTTCTTTCCTAATAACTAATGAGGATTTCCCTTGTTACCTCTGATGCCTTTCATCCTGTCATTAAACACCTCCAGGAAGATGTTGGCTCTATCCTTTGTACACTCTCCCTGCCATTACACTGCAAAATAGGAAGTTCATAGTTGAGTTCACAGCAAGACAGACTGAAACACTCCACATTTCCACTTCTACCTTTAGGGTACAATGGCCATTCCACCACCACCTTGCCTCTAATCTATCTCTTTTCCATAGCATACATAGGCAAGGCCTTGTACTCTTGACAGCTCAGACAACCTCAGGTCTAAGCAGTAGATCAAGAGCTACAACAGCACATTACCCACCTTACATTGGAAAAACATCGTGACTTCACAATAAATAACTGCACTAAACATTGAGAAAATACACAGACGTGGATATGCCCTGCTTGAAACAGCCTCCCTGCCACACTGACATGTAGAAAAACAGAGTAATAAAAGACCCCTTCTGGCTTCACTCTGGTGGAGTGACACATGTGTTAGCTGCTCTCACAATCTTTGCTACTGCAATAACAAATACAAACCTGAAAATGAGAAAGAGAAAATCCACTCAGCTCAGAGACTACTTCCTGGCAATCAATACACTCTGAATAACCTACAAAATTGTGGTCTATAAGAGGCAGTCAGTCAAGTCTCACTGTCCATCTTCCTTTAAACACTGATGTTCATAATGGCTCCTCATTTAGAAGTGTTCATTTCCATCACTGCTGGAGCTCGGCTTCGTTCTCTTTCCTCAAAAGGGAAGGAAGAGTGAACAGACTGAGGCAGCCTTTGACTACACACTTTCACTTACAAGGCAGTTCTTACCCTTGCCTCTCTGAAGTCTCCTCTAAGCTGATTTGCAAAGATCTGGGGGCACAGAAAATGGGGCAAAACCTGCAGAATTACTCAGATAATTGCTAACATAGCTCAGTAAGGAGAGAAAAAGCTTCAGAGCTCTATTTTTTATAAACCTGGTAAATTGGTCTAGGGAAGAGTTCTTTTTTTGTAAGTCAGTGTGACTGAATCATGAAGGTTCATTCTTCAAGCCCAGTTCAGGATATTAGGATGGAAAAGCACACAAACTGAAATCAAATTCAAAATGAAACCCAGAGAGATTTACCTTTTATAAACAGGCATCCAGAAATCTTTTGTTTAGCATTGTTGGAGAAGGTGTTGTTTCTCTAAAGGAAAATGACCCCTTACTCCAGGAAGTGTTCACTGCCAAAACAAGGAGATGCAAGTGTTTAAAACACTGTTAAAACTACCAGTAAAAACACTGTAAAACTACCAGTCCTAGCATCACAGATTAAGACATGTGCACTAAACCTTCATGCCAAGCATAAGACAAGGTTTGTGAATGCTGTTTCATACTACCCAGAAATGGAGTGTTCTCTATTTTTATATACCGTGCTTCTAACTTCTCTGAAGTGCTTTCCTATATAACCTATTAGGCTAATAATGTTGTTTCAAACATGCTAAGGATCACTCCATTCCATACTGTCTCACACTGCACCTAAACCCATGTCTTCTGGCATGGGTTTAGTCCCACTGGCCCATGTCTTCTTGGGGCACTCTCTCCAATCCTTCAGGCATAGCTCTGGGTGCAGATTTCTCATTTCCTTTGGCAGTACCTCCCACTCAGTACCAAAGCTATGAAAGCAGCATGAAGCTCCCACACACGCTCCAGCAAAGCCAGAATTCCCTTGCAGCAGTTCCCCACTGCACTCATCAGACTATGGTCAGAGACAGAAAGCCAACCTCAGGCACAGAGCAGCTTCCCAGCCAAAAGAAACTCCCAAAGCACAGAATGTGTGTTGGATGCCCACGTGTTTTAACAGCACATGTGAGCTGGAAGCCGCTTCAAAAAAAGACACAACAAAGAAACGCTGAAGAGTCAGCTTAAGGCAAGGAGAGAGAATATTTTGGGAAGCTTCCAACAAAAAGCCGTAGACAAGAACTCCCTCGTGCCTCCTGTGGCCACTGGGATGTTAAGAGACTGTTCTCTCCACCCTCAGTAGGAGTGTGGGCGTCTGTGGACAATGAGTACTAATTAACATCGATTCATTAACTTGGAATTCAGGATGTTGTTCATCACAGCAGCATAAACGCTAAAGGCTGAGAGAGATCGTGCATTAGGCAGCAATTTCACTGATGAGAAAGACAGGTTTATACTGCAAACAACTGTCCGGGAAAGGATCAGCACCGGTCATAGATCAAAGCAGCATAAGGACCCAGCTCTCATCCAGCAAAACAGATTCATGACTGACCCAGGCTCAGTTCTTAACCACTTAAGGCAGTAATCAAAGGGTGGCAAGTTTGGTGTATCACAGTCCTAATCCTCTAAGGCAGCTAATCCACAGTTAAGATTTACATTCAGGGGAATGGTCCAAAATGCTGTTAAGGCTTTTATTCAGTTGGCAGCCTTTCACAATCTAAAACTCATCAGCAAGCCTGGATCCCTGAGCATAATTTGGTCAATTTAGTTTACAGAAACAAAACTCAGGGAAAATAGAGAACACTGGTGGAGGACTGATGAAACACAGCTGGAAAAAGGGAAAGCAGACCCATTTGAAGCCATTGCAGAGCTGTGTCTGACAATGCTGTCAGCCTGGAGACATGGTTCAGCCATGACAACAGTAACAAGTACTTCCCAGACTGGAGAGCAACCAGTTTATGCCATAGTCAGTACCTGGAACCAAATCCAGGACTAAAAAGCAGAGGCAAATGAGAAGCATACGTACACAGCTCACACAGAGTAAGGTAGACCTCGTTGTTCCACAGGGTGATGTAGTGATAATGGCAGAGTTGTAAAGTCCTGCCCTCTTGTTGGGTTGGATGTTTCAGCTCCAAGTCCCCCAACTCCCTCCCATGGAGGTGAATAACAATTTCTTCTTGTGAATGAAAGAGCATATCAGAAGCAGCTTGCTTGTAAGGGTTGATTAATTGAAAACTGAAAATGAACATTTCTCCTTTTGACCCTTTGACCTTATTCAAGTATATTGTGATGACACAGTATTAAATCTCTATCTTATTTGTACCCATAATCAAGCTTGTGGAACCTAAAACCAGCAACAACACATTTTTTTTCTTTTAAGAAATGTGCATGATTGAAAGTTTAAAAAAAAGGTGCTATCTCTGTCTTATCATTTTTATAAAAGTTCTGTTTATGATTTCGAAATGGCAAAAAATACACAATGCAATCCACTGATAAAATTTCTGAAAGTGTCTGAATTACTGGTAGCAACTGAAGTGCTTTGGCATCTTCCTCTTCTGAATATCCCCCTCTTTGAGAGGACATAACATCTTAATTCCATTGATGAAGTCCATGAACAGAACAAACTGTATACATGTAAAAACACATCACCAAATGAGATGGAATAAGCTTCTAACCCTTGTTTTCATTCCAGGATTGAGAATAATAACATATTAAAGGCAGTCATCACTGGAACAGCCTGAGTATTCACACACCAAAAGCAAATCAGTGAGTAGCTTTCAGAGATGAGAAGGTCACACAGTGTCAATCCCAAGATTTGAACTGCCAGTATGGAATTGACCACTAATGAATCACACACAAACTGAAAAGATTCCCAATATCAATGAGAGGAAAATCCTATAAATATTTACTAGCACTTTGCAGGCTGCATTTATTACCTTACACTGATAAGTACACCTCACAGGTTTAAATTAGTTATATTGCAATTAAGATGTCGAAAACAGCCTCTGAAATGGACATCTATTAACTCTTTCAATAGTCTAATTAGGATTACAAAACAAGAAACACATCACTAGGTAATATAAGTTTCAGCCAGCTAAAAGCAGGAGCTGGCTGAAAGTGAGATAACATTACAAATTTTTAAAAACTTGGAGAAAAAATCTATAGGAAGAGTGAAATTTAAAGGCAATTCTTCTAAAAAAACAGTTAGCAAATTAAAATACTTAAAGACAAAAGTTCTTCACTAAAGCCATCTATCTGACTTGACTCTTTCACATAAATTCCTATGAATTTATTTAAGTGCTTCTGCAACTAAGTTATTCCGTGCTAATGAGGTTTGGATTTGGATTGTAGATATGGATTTGGCCCGTAAATATTCTAGCCATAGAAAACTTCTTTTCCACCTTATACCACAAAACAGTTTCTCTGCCACTCATCCAGTAGCCGAGGTCTCTCCAGCTCACTTCATATTTTGGCTAAGACACTTTTCAGTTAGAAAGCCAAGCTGAGAGCAAGTCCATGCCCAGCTGTTTTCCAAAGTGGGTGTCAAAGGTTGCCCAAGAAGTACTTGCTAGGGCCATGCCCACCTGGATAAACTGGTGTCATGCATTATCTTCCCACAGCAATCACACCAAGGCTGGCCCTGCAGGTTTGCTGTTTGGAGTAGCAGGATGAGAGATGGCCATGCTAATCCAGGAGTACCACAGGGGCTCAAGGAAAGGCCCAGCAGACAGGCAGTTTGTGTACTAAACACTGTCACAGTTGCTCCTACTGCGCACAGGGGCGATCCCAGAACACCACATACCTGGAATTTAACTTCCTTTGACCTTTTCAGGTTTTCAAGTTCAGGATTTAACTGCTTGACTCCATTAGGAACAGCAGGAAGTGAGCAGTTAAAACCCATAAAAAGGCTTTGAAAGCTACTTGCTAAATGTTCAGGTGTCTCTCTGCAACTGGCAGGAGGGAGGGGAGGCTGAGGAATGGGGGAGCAGGTAGAGTGGGAAAGGGGACAGGAGGAATATATGAGCAAAGTTTGGCTGTTACAAAACCAGCAGCTCAAAAAAGATCTTGAAGAAAAGTCTGGTAGCTCCCCCCTTCATGCTTCATTACACAGGGCACTATTCTTCTGCTAAGCTTCCCAGACGTGGGAGAAGGTACTGGAGCTTCTGAAGCAGCAGTTCATTCTGTTTTTAAAGACAGTTTGATTTGGGCTTTTTGCCCCCTGCATCATGCATTTTGACACTCAAGCTGTAAAACTGCCTCTGCAGCCTCAGTGGCAGAATGGATCCTCCAAACATCCCTGGCAGCAAATCAGCAGCTGGAAGTCCTGCAATGCATTTCTCAGCTAAGGCCATTCTGTGTGTTGCTTGTCGGGGTCAGTTAAGAGCAGGGAGGGATGCCTTCCAACATAACACTTATTAAATCCCAGAGAGGTGACATGTCATTTCAACAAGGCTGTTATCTCAGACATAGAGAAGGCTATACACTGCCAGGCAATACCTACAATTCTCCTTCTCACTGCCTTGGAGCCAGATTTGTCTCTGGTCAGTACAGCTCAATTATTTACTTATCCTATTTGTAGATCGATTCTCCTGATTGATGTAGATTTCTGGATGCTGGGAACAAACTTGTGAAATTTGCATTGAAGGACAAAATCAGGTCGTTGTTACAGAAGCAGGTTCCTGGAAAGATCACAGCAGAGACCCCACCATGGCCACTCCTGCTGAGATGGTTGGTCACCCTCTCAGTTAGTTGTTCAAGGACCTGCTGAGAAGGCCAGTAAAGATTCCCAACACAGTAGCAATTTGAACCTCCAAGCTATAGGTCCTACAATCATGAGGAATTTGCTTGCCTCTGTTGCAAGAAGGGAAGAAAATCACCAAAATATGCAGAATTAGGCACAAGTTTCATTATTTTATAGCAGAAAATTCTTTGAGTGTTCTTCTATTTACAGTGATTTCTAAAGTCTAGTTTAACCATGAGTGGAAGGAGACAGATGTCTCCAATGAAAAAGAAGTTCTGGGAAAAGGAGTCCACTAAGTTCACAGTTTTTCTGTCAACCTTGTTAGCAGGGTCACAGATGTGTGAAAGCAAATAACCACCCAGAGGTATGACAGACGCTACAGACAGACTTGCAGAGGTAATTTATTCAGGGCAGCAACAGTTTAAAATCCATCTGCATTTCTGTATCAATGGGTGAGCTTTCTGTCTGTGAGGGAACACGATTCAGGATGGGAACAGTTCCGGGCGCGGAGAGAAGCGTGCAGCGATTGGCGGGACTTTGTCGTGTGGACTTTGCTGTTATTATGTGATTTCACTGTATTCACACTGCACAGTGCACAGCCTGGACAAGCCCAGGCTTGCCATGAGTTTGCCCCCACTCCTCCCCCTCTTGCTGGTGTCCCTATGCTGGTTTGTCCCTCTGCTTGTCTGTCTCATGCTCGGCCCTATGTTCTTGCCCGTTCGGCTCCCGAGCAGATAAAAAGAGAGTGGGCACGCC